GTCACCACCCAAGAATTTGGATTCCTGGATCAACTGCCTCCTCTTCTCTGCTGCTGATTTGTCCCTGTAACAAAACAGGGTACGTTAGTACAGTCCTTTGTAAGTGGCAAGTACCTCTTAAAATGGGATGGAGTGGGCTCCAGAGCAGGGAAAGTATATGTGTTCACAATGTGACTGTTTGACTCTGAGATGCTGTGGGAACCATGCTCTGGCCCAATGGGTACTCACGCCTCAGCAGTGGGGCCCACAGCCCTATAGTTAGCTGTGGTGCTGATCAGCTCAGTTTCCTCATAATCTTTGTTCACACCATCTCTCCGTTCCTTGGCACGGTCCCGGTACTTCTCAGCTAGCTCCCGCTCTCGCTCAATTTCTTGTTGGCGCAGCTTGGCATAGTAACTATAACCAGAGAAAAGAGAAGGTATAAAGCTCATAAACAGCTATCCTAAGGTTAGCAGAACTGACCCTGCCTGTTTCATGTATACTTATTCAGTGTTTCATGGTAAACATTCATTTATGTCCTGATAAAGCTGATGGTCACCTCTTGGTAGTCCCCTGTATCAGAACACAGCATGTCCCAGCTTAAGAGTTTCAGTGCCACCTTGGGACACTATCACTTCAGAATCATTTAAGGCCTTCAAATCTAAATCACTGAGCCTCTACAGGTATGAAAGACTTTTTGATACAGCAACCAGAAGGTCATCTGAATTTCTGTTACCTTCTAAATTTCAGCTGAAAATCACTCATTCCTTGTTGGTTCACCCCAGAAGAGAGGTAAAACTAATTAGCAGGCCCAAAAAAATTTGTATTATATAATAATAATAATAATGATAGCAGTAGCCAAGATTCATCAGGCAATTACTATATACCAGGTCCTGATGCTAAGTACTTATATACACTATCTCAACTGAGGTTCATGACCTTATTTTTTTTTAATATTATTTAATTTATTTATTTTATTGTTAACTGGATGAAAGTTTACAGAGCAAATCAGTTTTCAACTCAATAATTCATATATATTTTGTCTCATGTCATGGACTACAACCCCACAATATAACTCACACTTTCTCCCTGTGTTTCCCATTTTTATTTCTCCTTTTTTCCTGATCCTTTTGACCTTTGTCCTTGGGCAAATACTGCCCTTTTGATCTCAAAAAGTTTATTATTCTGAGGAGTACTTAGCACTAATGTTCACCATGTAAACTTCTCTATTGTTTGGCTAAACTTGAGGGGGTAAGTTCACCATGATAATCTTATGTGAGAGTTATTTTCAATACTCTAGTCTTCCCATGAGAACACTGAGGATTGGAGAGGATAAGTGAAATACCCAAGGTTGTCCATCTACTAACTGGTGAAGATGAATTTAAGCCCCGCAGGCAGACTCCCAAGTGCTATAAATTATCACTCCTCACTACTAAGGACAGAAGAGATGCTCAAGACAACAAAGGAAAATCTCAGTCTTTAGCGCTTGGCTGTCACCTACTTCTTTCTTCTGGACACTATCCACCTTAAGATCCAGCTCCTCTGCTTCCTTTACCTTTTCTTTTTCCTCCTTCGTGCAGCTGGATCTTCATCCTCATTGTATTCCCTTGGCATCCTAGAAGACATGAAAATCACGGAGACAAGCCTTAGGAAAACAACTTTATGTACTGAAAAAGTCTAGAATATTGATTGAAGCAGCCATTGCACCCCAACAGAGGTTCAAGTCAGTAGCTACAGGTGAGTGATTTTCAAACTTTTAAAACATCACCGTTACCTGAAGGAACTATTATAAAATGACATATCATCAAGTATCTGTCCCAGAGAGTTTGAGTCCATAAAATCTGCCCACTTCAGTAACATAAATGACTCTAGTGGTTCATGGAAAATACTCTGAAAAACACTGAGATCCCAGAGCATTCCAGTCTTCACTGAAAGAAACTCAGAATGACAGGCTTGAACAAAAGGATTACCCTTCTAGTTTCTAAGACATGATATTTTAATAGATTTTCTGTAGAAAGGAATCAGTATGAGTAAGGAAAGAATTGGAAAACAAGTTAGATCATCCCAAGACTTACTCATGGTGGCGTGACTTAGAGGGTGGTGCAGAGGTGGGTGCAGCCCTTGGGGTCATGAGAAGTTTCCTAAAGTCCTCATTAGTAAGTTTTGACCTAAAAGAAATGACAAAGAATTAAAAAATGAGTTTGTTGTTGTTGTTGTTATGTGCCGTGGAGTCGGTTCCGACTCATAGCGACCCTGTACAGGGTTTTCAAGGCTGTAAATCTTTACGGGAGCAGAAAGCCTCATCTTTATCCTGCGGAACAGCTGGTAGTTTTGAACTGCTGACCTTGCAGTTCACAGCCCAATTCGTAACCTAAAAAATTAACATAGTTAATTTTACTTGAAATTTAAAAAAATGCAAATTCAAAGAAAGACATACCTCTTTTAATGAATCAAAAAGTTTGATAAATCAAATATGAGTAAGATTCTGGAAAATGGGCATAATCAGTTGGGTGGGTAGTCACTTGGGTAAAAAAGTAATTTGGCAGCATTTACTAAAATTTAAGTGCGCATATTCCATGAGTCAACAATTTCATTTCTCTAAACAAGGGGGCTTTAAAAAGTTCATGAAAAAATTACCAGCATGTACATATACACACTCATACAAATATGTTGTTCTTCAGTGCCATCAAATTGCTTCCAACTCATATCAACCCTATATCAGATTTCCAAGGAGTGACTAATGGGTTTGAACTGCCGACCTTGTGGTTAGCAGTCCAGTGTGCTTATCCTACACCAGGACTCCAATATATGTGTATGTGTGTGTGTGTGTGTTTATATATATGTTGTCGTTGTTAAGTGCCATCAAGTAAGTTCTGACCCATAGCAATCCTGTATAGGGTTTCTGAGGAGCAGCTCGTGAGCTTTAACCGCCGACCTTGCTGTTCAAAAGACTTTGCAGTCTGGCACATTAACCCACAGCACCACACCAGGACTCCATCTATATGTGTGTGTGTGTGTGTGTATATATATATTGCTGTGGGTTAATGCTCCAGACTGCAGAGCCATCGCATTAACCCACAGCACTATATATATATATATATATATGTATATATATACACACACACATACATACGACGGCACTTAACAACAACTATATATATATATATATATATATATATCGATGGCACACAATAACAACATAGTATATATTCCATGATATGGTGTTGATTGTGGAATCAGGTAAAATTAAACCACTGACAACTTCAATATTTTCACTGTCATGATGTTGCTTATTGTGAGGATTTTAAATTTTCCTCATGTTGAGGTGTAATCCACACTGAAGGCTATAGTCTTTGATCTTCATCAGTAAACGCTTTAAGTCTTCCTCACTTTCAGCAAGCAAGGTTATGGCATATGTGCATATCAGAGATTAGGTTATTAATGTCCTAAATCATCAAAGACTTCCTAAGGATCACTTTGTTGTTGTTGTAAAGTGCTGTCAAGTAGGTTATGACTCATAGCTCCCCTATATAAGGTTTTCAAGAAGCAGCCGGTGGACCTGAACTTCTGACCTTGTAATTTGAAGTCTAGTGCTGAACCTACAATGGCACACCATTAGTACCCACTTATTGCCAGAGTTTGTAACGCCTGAAAATTTCCCTTATTTCTTATTTAGCCTTGCATTTACAGAGATGTTGATTATGTCTTCAGATCAGCCCCATATAATACATTAAATTTCCTACTTAAGTAAATATGTTTTTAAAAAGGAACTAATAACAGTACAGCTGGTATGGTGCTATGACAATAATCCATAGAGGTGGAACACAGTGAATGAATTCAAGTAAATACTGAACTGAGTAATGCCCATGCTATGGAATACTATGGCGGCAGTTTAAATTGTGCCATGAAAGAAATCTCCAAGATACTGTAACTAAAAAAAAAAAAAAAGAGCAAGTAGCAGAATGATATATAATGTATAATTGAAGTTCATTTTTTAAATAAGTAGTATCCTTCCTGTCAGCATTCCTCTAATAACTATATACAGTTGGCCAGATTCAGTTAAAGTTCACAGAACTGATGTGCCAAGTGATACTGTTTGGTAATTCTTGCTGACAAGACATTCAAAATTCTCCCATCTTCACCATCACCGATTCCACACCCAGCTCATTCCCATGGCCCTACACCAAAACACTCACTGGTGGAAGGAGTGAGGATCATCCACATCGTGGCCATCTGGGGCCAAAGGGTTGGAGAACGGTTCACCTAGGGAAAAGAATTGCACTAATTTACTCAAAAGCTCCGGATGTAACAGTGAACGCTACAGACGGGTTTCCTGTCCTTAAGCGACTCTTAGACTAATGAAGAATGGCGAGAATTGCAACAGTGACAGCAAAAAGTACTATGTGCTGAGACGGGTTGTACAAGGAGCTCTCGCTGCAGTGTTGGGCCCCTAAATCAGCAAATTCCTGAAGATCAAATTGAAAAGTACTGTGTGCAAGATGGACACAGCCGATGATAGAGCGATGATTGGGTTTCCCGTCCTCACTTGAGGAAGGAATCAGACTCTGAAGCAGTGCGGCCTCACAAACCCCGACAACCCCTCTCTTAAGTTCTTAAATTAAAGTAACGTGCCGAGTGCCAGAGTCCTGCAAGGAAGAAAGGGCAGAAAAGTCTTACTGTCTCGCTCCGGCATTTTGTCCGCGGTGTTTCAACGCCAGAAAGAGAACAGAGATTCCAACAACAAGACAACGACAGGTTTTTCCCACAATACACCTCAGAAATCATCCACAATGCTTTGCATGTGGCGTCTTTTCCTCTTCCTCCCTTTCCCATGCGTCATCGCTATAGCAACCCGCCAGCTCGAACAGAAATTGAAAGAGCAAATGAGTGTCCCAGAATGCTTACATGTCGTTGGCCAACTTTTATCCCGCCCACTACGTCATTCAACCTTTCGCCTAGCCTGAGAGGTGTCCGATTGGTTGGATTGCAGGATTAGTTGGGGGGCTTCTGTACGAGTGAGAATGGCGGTGGCCGCAGCTAGTCGGGGGACCGGAGTAAAACTGGCCCTGCGTGAAATTCGGATCCACTTATGCCAGCGCTCGGCCGGCAGCCAGGGCGTCAGGTGAGGCGTGGCGTAGTCAGGCGGGCGGGCTTTGGGGACGACAGGGTCACGACCTCCACCTAGTGGGGTGGCAAAGGCTGCGCCCACACGTCACTTGATGCTCTCTCTCGGTCCTCGCAGGGACTTCATCGAGAAAAGATACGTGGAGCTGAAGAAAACGAACCCCGACCTACCCATCCTAATCCGCGAGTGCTCTGATGTACAACCCAAACTCTGGGCCCGCTACGGTGAGCACTACACACTGGAGGTTTAGAACCCCGGTGGGGGAACAGGTGATCGAGAAGAGAAGGGGTGCCCAAGGTCACTCAAAAGCCTGTAGAAAGACGAGGGCTTGGGCCTCAGCGTTGCCGTTGACCTTGCTGCTGATAAAAGTTTCATTCTCAGAGTTACCGGATGCTTTGTATCCTTAGCAACGTTTACCTGATGATCCCAGTTTTATGTAAGAAACCAAAGGCTGTCGTTTTGTCTTTTCTTTTAGTTCAAAACAGCCTTCAGATAGGAGGGAAACGACACATGTGGAATTTGCTGGCCAGATAGAGTAGGAGATTGTCAATAACTTAAAATAACATTTAATACTGAGTGCTTTCTGTTTAACCTGGAATCGACGCCATTTAATCTGAACAAGTCATTGGGTTCTTTTTTATTCTCCTTATAGAGTTTAGTAAGCTGGAACATACCTAAGATTATGCAGCTAAGATACAACAGAATTGAGCCTATATTATTTTATTCTCCTTAGAATGCTCCCTATCCCAGCCAGATTCCTTTACTGGTTCCTTGAATTTATCAGGTCTGACTTATAGGAAGGTGCTTCAAAAAAATTCATGGAAAAATTCCATTAGCTTTTCATTCCATTTCCCATGAACTTTTGATTTTTTTATACCCCACACATATAGCACCTCCTCAATAAAGGCATGACCAATTATGTGATATTGCCCCCGTCCCTTTTTATCATATTAGCACTGAACTGCTAGCCAAAAGGTCTGCGATCAAATCCACCAGCCTCTCCTCAGAAACCCTATACAGGGTTACTATCAAGCAGATGGACTCCACAGCATACAACAATCCCATTTAATTTATCACAAGCTGTAATTATTTATATCTTCCTTGCTGCATATCACCAATGCAGTAACTGGTGTGTTGTTAAGTGCTGTCAAGTTGGTTCTGACTCATAGTGACCCTGTATAGGGTTTGCCAAGGAGTGACTGGTGGGTTGGAACCACCAACATTGCAGTCTAGTGCTTATCCTATATTACCACACCAGGACTCCTGGTGTGTGGTAGTTAGTTTATAAAGTAGATATTTATATTTATTGAATGTTAGGATTTTAATCACAGTGTTAAACTCCATCCTGCTAACAGTAGTCATCTGCACTAATAGATGTGTTGGAGGAAAGAAAAAGGCACTTTCCAGAAGCTAGTTGACCAAGGGGAGAGATGGTCATTAGTAACATTAGCATTTTGTGCTAGATATTATGCTAGATGAACTATTGGAGCCCAGAGAATGGGCACTTAGCCAAGGCTAGGCCCATGCAATACACTCTTACAATGCTTGCTGTAAATTCCTGCCAAAAAGCCCAAACCTACTGCTCTCAAGTCAGTTCCAACTCATAACAACCCTATGTTGTTGTTATTAAGTATAATGGAGTTGCTGCTGACTCATAGTGGCCCTGTATAGGGATTCCAAAAAGCAGCTGGTAGTTTTGAACTGCTAACTTCATGGTTGGCAGTCAAGTGCTTCTCCTACAGAGCCACACCAGGACACTCCATAGTAACCCAATTGTTGTTAAGTGCTGTCAAGTCAGTTCTGACTCATAGTGATCCTGTATAGGGTTTCCAAGGAGCAGCTGGTGGGTTTGAACAACCAACTTTGTGATTAGCAGTCCAGTGCTGATCCTACGTGCCACACCAGGGAACAGTAAAAAAAAAAAAAAAAAAGCTGTTGTGGCATTGTAGAATAATCACTGTGAAAGAGTTCTGGTAGCATAGTGGGTTATGTGGGCTACTAGCAGCAAGGTCAGCAGTTCAAATCTACCAGCTGCTCTGCAGGAGAAAAATGAGACTTTCTGCTCCCATAAAGATTTATAGCCTTGGAAACTCGATAGGGTCACAAGTCAAGCTCACCAGCTGCTCCTCAGAAACCCCATATAGGGTATCTATGAGCTAGAACCTACCCAATGACACTTAACATGAGTTGGAATCAACTTGGTGGACACAGTGGGTGGAGCTGCCCCACAGGGTTTTCAAGGCTGTACTCTTAACAATGGGAAGACTGCCACCACTTTATCCCATGGAGCAGCTGCTCAATTCAAAGTGCTAACAGATGAGCATTTAACCACTGCACCACCAGGGCTCCTTTATACATGCCTGCGGCTGCTGTGTACTGTCTAGCCAGTTTTAACTCACAGCTACCCTGCATAGTGTTTCCAAAGTTGTATTATCTTTACAGGAGCAGAGTGACTGGTGAATTCTAACTGCTGACAAGTGGTTAATGGCCCACCCCATAACCCACTGTGTTACCAGGGCTCCTATAAATGCCTACAGTGCCCCCTAAAAACCTACCTGAAAAGGCTACGCAGAATCAGCCAAAATTCCAGTTATATCTAGGCTTCAGAGATTTATAACACTGGATAAATTCTAGGTATACTAAATCCACCTTTATGCCATATGTCTTTACTCTTTCCTAGCCTAACAAAATTATAAATGAAAGACCAGGCCCTTTTATGGTATTTTCTTAATCCTCACAGTACAGAGTAGATATTTAGTCACCTTCCTCTCTCCTCAGCATTTGGCCAAGAGAAGAATGTCTCTTTGAACAACTTCAGTGCTGATCAGGTAACCAGAGCCGTGGAGAATGTGATACGTGGCAAAGCCTGAACTCAACTGAGGATTAAAAGTAGCAGCCCCAACCTGGGCTCTGCTGGACTGAGTACAATATGGAATAACGTTTATTTTTTGTTGTTTTTTTTCTCCCTATAAATCTTGTGTTGTAAAATGCTATCTTAGAATGTCCTTTTCCTCACTCCCCTACCCGTACACTTTATTGTTCAACCAGTGAAGCAAAGCGATTTAATATAAAAAGTAATCTTTATTCTGTCCCATCAAAAGTCACCAGCCCCAGGATAAGTAGGCCACTGAGTTCCCTCTGGTTCTCCTGCTTAGAGTGCAGGGTGAAAGACAAGGGGCTGGGGTCCAAAGGGCTTGGCTGAGACTTAGGTATGGAAGCAGAGAGCATGAGACCTCATTATGGCTCTGAACCTCCAAAAGGGGTGTTCGACTAGATCATAAAAGAAAGCTGACAAAGAAGCTGGAGTAGGGGGTGTTGAGTGACATCCAAAAAGCAGGTCATCCATGGAGCACTGTCTCCCGGAGAGCATGCACACGATCTTGGAGCTGGACTTCCTCCTTATGCTTTTCCAGAGCCTGCAGCCCTGATTGATGCAGAAAGGCCTGGGCTGCCTGAGGGCAGAGAGAAAAGTATTCACTGTCTGGGTCTCTGTGCCCTAAGACTCAGTTCCCACTGCCTTTTAGTAAAGCCTGACCCTGAAGCCCACCTCTTAGAAGACAGTTTATTCCTAACAAGAGAATGAAGAGTCTGACCTAGAATCCATATAGGTCAGCCAGGTACAGAGAAGTAACTACAGTTAGGACTGGAAGAGAAGGGGGGCCATGTGAGACCAGGGGCTTCAGAGCAGGTGGACCCATGCCAGAGATCTACCTCTGGCTGATACAGGAACAGCAGCTGCAGCAGCTCCAAACTCTGGTCCACTACTTCAGTGTCAGAAAAGGCTAGTGTGTTCAACAATGAGGGTAGCAGGGGCCCAGGCCACAGCCGTTGGCAGTAAGCAGGACCTTTCTCTGCAATGTTGCACAGAACTGTGAGCACCTGCAGAGACATATACATAATCCTACAAAGGATGAAAGCCAAAAACTATAATAGCTAAAATACATAGAATGCTGAATCACCTGCCAGGCACCTCTAAAAAGTTTCTTGGTGTTCTTGGTGAAGATTTAGCAGTTTATATTCCCATTGAACAACTTCACACAAAGTACTCAGTGACATCAATTACATTCTACACAATGTATATACATTCTCATTAATTCTCTTCTGGTTGTTCCATTTGCACTAATTTAGTTGTGCCTAGCACTTTTATATGCATGTTCTATAATCTCTACAGCTCAGAGGTAGGACAACTATCCCCAATGGTAAATGGTTAGTTGATTTGCCCAAGGTTAGTACTGCCACACCTCATTTTATTGTGCTTCAAAGATAGTGCAGTTTTTACAAATTGAAGGTTTGTGGAAACCCTGCATCATGCAAGTCTATCAGTACAACAGCAGGTGTTCACTTCATGTCTCTGTCACATGTTGATTATTCTCAAAAATAATTCAAACTTTTTCATAATGCTATTGCATACTTAGTATACCACAGTATAGTATAAATATAACTTATATGCACTGGGAAACCAAAAACATCATGTGGCTAGCTTTATTGTGATACTTGCTTTTATCTAAGGTATGCCTGTCTGTAGTAGGACACAGTCCAGGGACTGAAGTCTAGACTGGTATGGCCCTGTCATCAGTTGTAGCACCCCACCTACCAGTTACTAGCTAAAGGCATTTCTAAGGACTCAGGCCTACTCCCACTATTTACATGTCACTTTGCCTACCAGATCACTCAATGATCCCAATACCTACCAATACGCTCACCACATTAGACACTGGCAAGAGCTGCAAGAGAGGCTCAGTCAGATCCAAGGAGAGAAGAGAGGTACAGAAACTTGGACTGTTTGCTGGAAGGAAAAATGAGGTTCTCAAACTGGAGCCTGAACTCGTCCTATCCTATCCACCTCTGCCCAGGCTACAAGGACATATTCCCAACTAAGTTCCAATATCCAGGCCTGGGCAAAGGTGGTTCATACCAGTGAGGTTGTTAAGGAGCCAGAGACCCTCAGGAAGCAGGCTGGGCTGTTTCTGGAGGAAGAACTGCAGAAGGATAAATAAGGCAGCCACAACACGCTCATCTCCAAGCTGTATTTGCCCTTCCACAGCCTCCACTGCTGTCTCCGTTAGTAGGTTGCTGAGACACCGAAGCACAGGGCATGCTAGCTGTAAAGACAAGTTAAAGGTCAGGTGTAAGAAAGAAGAGACTAGAACAAACACGATGGATTGGGTGGATGTGTAGCAGAGAGCTCCGCCAACAACAACACAGAATACTCGACCAAGCAGCCTTAGGGGATGGTCCCAGAACTCTGAACCACATA